TTTTTCCGGTAGTGATTACAAGTCACGAGTGATGATAGGGTTAGATTATTGTAATACAAACAATGGTCACTTATCGGCTCTAAATAAATGCTATTATCATAATATTTAAATGAAGTTAATCATATTCAAGACATTATTATTATGTCAAAAGACCAACAGGAAGGTAATAAGAATCATAGTCATTAACTGAATAAATATTAGTCTGAACGCAAGCAAAAATGCGGTCTGAAAGTTAGCCCTTTGCTGTATCATTTTGCATTTGAGATTAATACACCTACTCAAAAAGGCATTCACCTTAAGAGATCAACGTAACGTTTTATTTAAAGGACCACCAGGAAAAGAATCAGAATTATTTATATGCCCGAAATATACCAAAACGGGTGTATTGTATCGTCTCATGAGTATTTTTGCGTGCCATATTTTGTTAAAAGTCAGCCATCCCACGCTTACCGCCAACGGAGCTTGACAAAAATGTCGTTTAGCTGCATATGTGATGTCACATGACCTTGCAGGCAGCACGTGTGCTGTGAGACGACCTACACGATTTTAGGCTTTTTATTAATCGAGCTGATGTCTCAACTTGGAAGTTTTTAACTTTCTCTGAATACGTGCTTATTTTTATCATCACCATCTTGAATTCTTGCAATACAGTTTCTTTGTATAAGTTTACGAAATTATTTACCTACTTAGTAAACTATTTGTCTATGCTTTTGATCGTTTTTGCTATATCATTTATATTATATTTTCCGAATCTTGCAGTTTTTTTATTGAGCTTCCAATTTGGAACCTACCACATAAGCCAGAAGCCTAGCTATTGATGCATTGCCTTATTACCAGGCACCTTAACACCTATATTTGTACTAGCACAAGGCATAGAGACGTATTTTCTGTTAGACTATATCACTATGGTCATCAATTAAATCATCAATGGCCCACATTTATGGTCAACGTCTATGATTGAGAAGACAAGACCTATAAACATAGTTTTTTAATAGCTTGAAGTGCAAAAATATTTTTATTATGGTCATAGTAATACAATTCATGTACTGCCTCTATACTATATGTCATAAGTCAATTACCTACTATAATCCTATGACCTCTGTGTGAACTAAATAAATCTCCATGAATAAAATTTTCCTTAAATATGAGTCAGAATTTTAATAACGAGAACAAACTTAAATAGAACATTTTTTATTTTGTTCGTGTATTCCTGTAATTCTAGGTATGAAACCAAGGTGTTTACTAAGTCACATTATTAGAATAATGATCGCACTCAACTTTGACCTACTTTTAAGTAACTAATTGTTAATTACAACTTTACATTTATGTGTGAGAATAAATGTGTTTATGTATGAGGTGAGCTTTCAACTAGAGCTGTGTCGACTTTACTACATACTTGATGAAGTAATATAGATTGTAAGATACCTAATATTTCATACGACATTCACCCTTACCACACCGACATTAAAGCTCTGTTAATTCTGAACTGTTATCATTGAAGTGGTTGGTTATACCCCAACTGTAAATTTTTTGCCTTTTGTGTTTGTTGACAGTTGAGTCATTGTATTTTTAGTAAGAGATAAGCTTTGTTTTTGTTACCATTTTTCCTTTTACTCGAGGTAAAAATACTGGTTGTAGAACAGTTATAATAATGTAGGTACTGTTTATATTAATCTCAGGTTTAAATGAGCTATGATATACATGTATACTTTACTTACCTACATAGTATTTGAATAATAGTCGAGTATGTGGCAGCACGACTATGCTATGATAACTGGCGAACAGGGAAATTGAACAAGGTTCGTTCTATATAGCTCTTATCGTTCTTAACGTACATAGAATCTAGTGCTACCCAAAAAGATCACGACCATAATAAAAACTGCAACAATAAACAAAATTAGTGTCAATTCAAACTAGATTTAAGTCAAACTTTTGACCAGAACGTGTCTTGAAAAGGCAAACGTTCTCAATTTGGCAATGCCGATTCTTAAATCAGTACTCCTTCTACGTCGGGTATCATGTATAACTGTCAACGAGAATACAAAATCATAATAATATGTGATCATGATTCGCAGCCCGCTGTCACGTCACAGATAATCGAATAATTCAGGGAACTGTCATGGCTGCCGTATTTGGCGGGAAAGCAATCCGCTTAAGCCCAAATGGGCATGCGTTGGGATACCACTCTGTTCTTTATTGCATGACACAGTGTTGCATAAGTGCTGCATTTTTACCTAACGCAACAACGTACGTATAAATTACTAAGTACTAGTTACGTAAGTAATTATAAACGCTTTTAGTTGTTTTTAAGATTCCCTTACTTTAAGAAAAAAATGAATAGTTTAAACAGTTGCAAAATTGTAGAACAAAAAACCTTTGATTAAATACGAAGGAGGTGTAAGGGATAGGTAAGTAAGATATCATAGGTAGGTGCGTGCGTGGTTTTTTTTTTGAGGGTGGAAAATCATCCAATGTTATCTCTCGCCCGGGTGAGGCAGGAAGGAGTGTCAGACTCTTACTGACTAAAAACCACCCCGTTCCTACTCCTGCCCTTCGAGCCGGAGCCCCGGCAACCCGTTAGGTCCTCCGCAGCTCCGTATCCGCATCAACCCTATTGGGCCCCATCTGATGTGCCAGGTACTTAGCTTATAATTTTTTATTTTTTTTTAAACGGTTCCCCACACTATTTTCTCCTGTGTCGTGGGTGCGTTTACAAACATACAAGTTCACATACACATTGACACCCAGACCCGAAACAACAATTTTTGGATCACACAAAGTGTTGTCTCGTGCGGGAATCGAACCCGCGACACGTTGCACGGCAGCCAGTTGCCCAGCCACCGCACTGATTGTACTGAAAAGGAACCTGCTCAGCACTAGTACCTAACTCTAAGGTTGTGAGTCAATCTATTCAATGTACTTTCGAATCGTAAACTATTTATATGGGAAAGGTTACACGCAAAATTAACGACGGCTAGTTAAGTAGGAAGCAATATTCATCTTGAACTGACATCTAGCCCCGAAACAATGAGAGAGATCGACGCGTGGGCACTGGGCGGCAACATCACTTGTAAGGCGCAGCTATAGTGAATGTTTTAATGCATCGACGGATTACTTAATATCTGTACCAAATACTTTGAAAGTCGTAATACCTAATTACTAACCTATCAAGTATAAAAAAAAAACTTATATAGTCAAGATGAAAAACGCCATTTGAGATACCTGACATTATTACGTATTTTTTCTTACAATGATTGTGAGCTTTGCGAGCTTTCGTAGTATGAAATCAACTCTGTCAAATTGAAAGTATTCGGCATAAACTTGTTTGTCGTATATTGTGGTACCTATACCTAGGTTTTACCTACTTATAGAAAACGTGACATCGGTTGTAGAAGTTGTAGTCTAACGTAGTTTATCCGAATGAACGGGTTAAAGCGTTCAATGATCATATTCATATTACCTATTTAGTTTTGAACATCCATGTTACTCTTACCGTACTTATAGATAATATTCATTGCCCATTCACAAGTCTTTTTTTTTTTTAAGGGGGGAAAATCATCGAATGACTGCTCCCGCCCGGGTGAGGCGGAAGGGAGTGTCAGACTCTTACTGACTAAAAACCACCCCGTTCCTTCTCCTGCACGTCGAGCCGGAGCCCCGGTTACCCGTTAGGTTCTCCGCGACCCATACACAAGTCTAGACTCTAATGCTACTGAAAGTTCTGAAAAAGCTTCTATAGTAATTTATGAGAGTCGTAACTGCAACTACGAACTTCATCAAGAGTCTTTAAGTTGAAATAACTTCAGAAACCAGTTTGTATTTGGAAAAATATAATTTAGACTGATTCATTGATTAATGACTAAAAATCCATGTAGGTAAATATGTTAATGTTCTTGATTAAACACAAATTGATATCATATCAATTCGTACCTATAGGAAAGTAATTGAACTTGGCTTATCAGATCATGTTACGATTTTACTCGAACTTGGCCTTTTTAAGAACGTGATTTGGACTGGATTTGCAGGTCAAAATTTTACGCAAAGCAAAATAAATAAAAGAGTTTTTACCTGCATTTAATACTGGTATGCTCGGCAGGGGACTGTAAGGGGCTTTTGTTCAGCAGGGGACGTCTTCCGGCTAATGATGGTGAGGTTTATGATTTTATAGGGAATGTTGCGATGTGATGTAGGTACTGTATGGAGTACAATTGCAAAAAAATCTTATCTTTCGACTTCAAGTTCAGAGGATTTGCAGTTTTAATAACTTTAGTACCTTTACTTTTGTCTATATCTAGTACCTAAATATATTTGGAATAAGAGCTCTCATACAAAATAAATCGTCTATATTTTACAGTGGCGTATGTTTATTAAATCGTAGTAAATATTCGTGTGACATAGACTTTAGACTCACCTTAAGACGATTCTTTTAACGACAATAAATCGGCCAAGCCCACGCTTCCGTAGCCTATTATTTAGGTACGTAATCAAATAATCATTCCGCTTCGCTTGGCAACTTGGACTCGGGAATGAACGAAACGGCAATGAAAAAAAAACAATTGTTTTTAAATTCACTCTCTGCCTCTTTGGTGCTCGATCGATGCACGTGGGAGGACATGTTAAATTTTTTACGATGTAAATTGCCGCCGATTAAAATGAAACTGTTTGTTTTGGACCTAAATTAACCAGTTTATTGGCATATTATTTAAATGCTTAATAAATTAAGATATAATACAACTATCTATATTAGACAGTTTTGGAAAAAATAGTTACTTCATACATTAGGTTTGATACAAGATATTATATTTATTTTGCCTTATATATTCAGTAATTTGAATATTCTAAGCGTGTAAACAAATAGTAACCTACCTAACTAAAATAACAAACAAGGTGTTATCACAATCAGTGAAGAAGCTTTATGGAGTTAAAAACAAACACATGAGGTAATAACGATAACAATTAAAATTTATTAATAGTAATAAATAATTCTCAAAATATATCTCATATAAAATATAGTTAATAATTAATAGTATGGCAAAGAGAATTAAATAGTAGGTACCTAATTGGAAATAGTCCAGCAGTGACACCACACAACACTATCACGCGAATGTCCGGTCGATGTAGTCGCAGTCGAACTCTGCAAAGAACGAGTCGAACGGAGACAGCGAGTCCTCGGCGAACTCGGAGGGCGTCTCCTGCTCCAGCTCCGTGGAAAACTCGGAGAGGTCGGAGCACAGCGGCGAGGGCCAGCGCTCGGGACGTGACCCGTCCGTCTCGGGGCTGGACTCCCGCAGCACCGCCGACAACGCCGAGATGTAACGCATGGCCAGCCGCAGCGTCGTGATCTTCGTCAATTTCTCGCAGGGCACCGGTGTCCCGGTGATGGCTGATGCCGGGACAGCGCGGCGCAGGGTCTCGAACGCACGGTTGATCTCGCGCATGCGGCTCCTCTCCCGAGCGTTAGCAGTTTTCCTCCTGTACTTGCTGAGGGGCTGCGGAGTGCGGCGCGCACGCGGCTCGCGGCTGCGCGCAGCGCGCGGTCGCAGCTGGTACTTGTCGTGATCCGGCATGGAGTGACGCCGGCGGCCGCCCCACGCGACCACGCCGCCCGCGCAACGTCGCCTCAAGAAAAATACGCTCACTCCGCCCACTTGCCCCGCTCCGTTCATGTACAGTCGCGCACACAGCTTTTAACATTGCATTGTATTTAAATAAAAACCTACACAATTACGACAAACTTAAATCATGTTATGTACAAGGTGTCAAGCGACATCATTTACGATACGAAATATCTTTCTCAATTTAAGGTTGTGAAATAAAAATAAAAGATTATAGCTTTGAGAAGAAAAATAATTTAGGTAGCCCGTAGCCCCGTAAAATTCAAAATACTCGCTAATGAATCTACTTCGGTCAGGCTGGATAGTGGGCAGATTAGAAGATATACCATGACAAACAAGAAAGTAAATATTGTGCTGTTGTTATTGATCTAAAAACAACTGTTAAAGCATTACAACTTTTTCTTATAAATAAGCTACATAGGTTACATAAAGGTAGTTAATAAAATAGACAATGTTCTTAACGACACACAGAAGGCTATCAAGTGCCAGTAGGTACCTAATTACGAATGCACCGTGCGTAGCGTAGTGAGGTAAGACTTGAGCGCTCCCCTGTACCTCAGTCACAATGAATGAACAACATCCAGCTACATAACTCATTGGGTAATAGGTAGTAATCGGATTGATACCATTTGCATATTCGATTCGGCATTTCCGTTCTGAAGGCTCTGCGTGGACTAATTGTTTACCGACCTTGCCGAACGAAGTACTCGACTGTTCCTACGTGGGTTATGATCAAGTCGTGTGTAGGCTGATCATTGGTGACGCAAAATGTCATTATGTAACGCTACTACTTACTTGCATAGGTTGCAATTTCGCCCTTTGCACTTTTAGTTAGGTAAGTAGGTAGGTGGTAGGTCAGTCAGTAGGTACCTACTACAATCACGCCTACACTTGACTTAAGCCTGTGAATGTTTTTCTACTAATCTGTAGGAATTAAATTACCTAATATTAATTACTATGAGTTTAATTTCCAATAATTAACAAAAACAAAACATTAGATAATTATAAATAAAATATAAAGTTAATTTAACCTTCTTGTTTGTAGCGTGGTACAGAATATACAGATAGGCTGAATGGCCAAATTCCATATTCAAACACGCAGTTCAATATAAAAAACGTTGTTAAAAAAAATATTTCTAATTATAGTTAGGTACAGGAAGAAAATTATTTATCAAAAACATTTCCATTGACATAAATTACTTTAACAATGACTTCACCTAAGTTGTCGTCAGCAAATGAACTGCAATGTGAATTGCTGCTATACTTAGACATCAGGCGCTACCTTGCTGACATGAGAGATTACTGCGAGGATTTCTTAGAACAATTAACTGAGAAAACATTGAGTAAGTTCCCGCCATTACGATTTTTATTAGAGATTGACGTCATGGACTTGTTGGATGTATCACCTGAGCTAGGGGATTTTTTTATAGCGGAACCGAATAAATTTAAAAGAATGTGTAACGATATTTTATTTGCATGTGTTCAGGCTACCGATATTGAAACGAGAAATAATATAGAATATGCTCAAGTAGCAGTGATATTGAGATTGAAAAGTGTTCCAATTGATTCTAATTCACGTTATCATAAAGGGTTGGTCACTATTGATGGACTGCTATTATCTGTTTCGAAACCAGAAACCTATGTTCTCCATTCAGTTTGGTCTTGCCCCGAAGAATGTGACGGCAACGAAGTTATTCTACACTACATACCAAAACATCCGCCCAAATGTCATCTATGCAAAAGTAATCTATTTGAAAACAGTGGGTTGAGACAATGCGGAGAACAAGTGACTGCAACATTCAAAATACGTAATCAGTTACTTCCAAAAACATTGAAAATTACTGATAATCTAATATCAAAGTTGAACCTTGGCACACGATACATTATACATGCTGTTGTCACGAAAAAAATAACAACAATTTTGTCTATGGAAAATATAATTACTCTAGCAGCTCCGATAACCAACCCTATCCCTAAGGACGTAGAGGACTTATTCAAGGCATGCAAAGAAACACCTTGGAAGTTCATTTACTGTCTAGCTTCAAGTATAGGAGTCAATGTTTGTCCTTTACATTGTTTCATGCATCTCAAGATTAACTTGTTATTAAGTCTCACTAGTGTGAAGGCAAATGCTGTCTCAGGGGCGAGTATCTTACACGTCCTCGTCGGAGGTTTCGACACAAGATATGTTGGAGAAATAATGGCCGATGCTGCGAAACTTGCTGATAGATCTGTGATCGTAGGAGCGTCTAACTCAGAAGCACAAACTGCTTTGATAGCGAGTTCTGGAGGAGTTTGTGTCATGCCTTTACCACTTCACATTTACAGCCACAAGCAGGTTTCAGCTATACTTGCAGCGATAGAAACAGGTCATATGAATACTGGTACAGCATTAGCAAAGTTGAATGCAGCAGTGTGGGCGCAAGGAATGGACTTTAAGAAGATGATACTATATAACGTCGCTAGTGTCTTTGGAAATGTATGCCGTGGCGATTGTGGGGAGTTTTACGATGAGATTAACGAGTTTGTGTTGCAAAGAACTGTGGAACCAGTTGGTATCTGCAAGGAAGAAATAAAAGCGCTGAAAGATGTAGCAACGTATATAGATGTGGTAGCAGGAATTGAAGTCGTTATAGACGACATGACTAAAAACTTATTGCAAAATTATTTCCTGGCAGCTCGGAAAGAGAACACTAAGATCGTTTGTGTTGGAAGCATGAATGCTTTGGTAACGATTTGCCTTACTTCAGCGAGACTGTGTTGTAGAAGAGTTACTAATATCGATGACGCGGTTTTCGCTATTTGGCTACATGTTTGCGGAAGTCCCGAGCCTCGGTTCGCCCCCGAGGACTACTTACAAACACCAGCAGACGTGAGAAAATTACAAAAAGTGATAACAAGCTTCAAACATTGGTTAGAAGAATTTACCGGCAGTTGTTTACTTTAACTACTCCCTACGTTTTCTGTTTTATTGTAAAACAACTATGTTTACTTGTTATTGTTAATTGTAGTGTCTATTTTCAACACTTATTAAATATTTAATTGAAAATAATTATGATTATCATCAATGTTATTCCCCGGAGGCTGTGGCATACTTATTAGGTATACCTACTCACATTTCACCAATTACGCCTCAGCATTGTGATAATGAATACAGCACTGTTTTGTTAAATATTATTAAAATTTTCTCAAAATTAGAAATACCCTCGAACGAAACACTAGATTGGCTCGGGGACAATTTAATTTGAATTTATTTCACACGTACGTAAGGTATATTTAAAGTTCCTACAGATAACGGACCTACGAACAGGATTTAAAATAACTGCGTAATAAAACAACTTAATCAAACAATTATACATTTATTTATTTGTTCAATATATTATTTATTAAGCTTTTGACTAGAAGATAAATTGTTAGTGTATTTATAAATTCACAAGTAGTTTAACTTAGGAATAGATTTACGTTTTAGCAACTCTAAAAGAATTTAAAGACAACAATAAGTACTTACTAAGTAAGAATCTATAAAGATAAATGCATTAAAATTATTATTTTTAGCACCATAAAAGTCCAAAGTCCTTTAAAACTAAATTAATTATTACACAGATAATAAGGCACTGTGTTCGTTAAAATTCACAATCTCAAAATTTGTTTCCATTGGAAAAGAAGAGGCCAAGATAAGATGGTCAGATTATGTGAGGAACAATACGACAAAAGGCGGTTCGGGACAGAATGACGATTGATAGGAGAGAATAGAAGAGATTGCACCCACCCCAAGTAACTTAGAATAAAGGCATGATCAATTCAATCTAGTCATCATTCAAAAAGCTGAAATCTAACTTTTTCAGCAACTCATTTTGTGAGTTCAATTTCAATGATAAACTCATTTGGCTTTGTCTTATCTTCATGCTGTCCTCAATAAGAGATTTCAGTACTTCGTCATCTTCTAATTTATTGGTCACATTGATGCAATGTTTAGATACAGGTTCTCCAATCTTGAAGTCTTTCTTTTCAAAGGAGACCACACTGTATGGTACATTTGAAAATCCATCAGAATCTTTTACTACACAGCTTATAGTTGCCCATGTACACTTGGTCAGCTCATCTAACAAGTTTGTCACATCTGACATCAATTTAGTGGTAGAATCTGCGGCATTTAGTACTATGTCATCAATCTTAGAAAACTCCATACTCACATCCATAAGTTTCAACACAAAGGCCTGTTGACGGACTTCTTGTAATATCTTATTTCTGAGTTTGAGGCAGTAATAGCATATCTCTACTATGTCATGGCACTGTACTTCTCTACCTCGGTTAGCTGATTCACCTTTCTTATAACTTAAAAATGCTTTGTAAGCATTAGCATACACAGCTTGGTAGTTGTGTTTAGTAACAAAGTTGTTGATGTCAGCTGTGATGACTTCATTACTGCGTCTAGTGGCTGACTGCAGCCGCACCGTCAGTTGGCTCCAAGCAGTTTGTAATTTTTGTATTCTTCCTGTAATGTCGTCTGCATTTTTGAAAATTTTATCAAAACCACCAAGTAAGTGAGATCCATTTGATTCCTTCAACTCAGTTATGTGTGCTTTTCCAGAATCAATCATCTTCTTGAGTATTTCTTGTCTGGCAAGAAGATTACCAATATTTTTATCAACTGAATTATGTTTCAATAACAACTGTTTTCCTTCACATTTCAGTGACTCGGCTCTGACAAACAATCCATTGATAAGAGAATCATACAATTCCATTTGTGACATAACAAGATATAAGGCATTCTTATATAAGTTTTGGCTGTTTTTATAATTATAAAATGCTTTTGGGTGTTCCAAACACCTCTGTACTGCCTTTGGGACAATTGCTTCCACATTGTCTTTCATAATATATGTCTTGTTGTAAAGGAAGAGCATAATATTTTCATTCCAGTACTTTACAATACATTCATCATCTCCGGGCTCCATGTAGTTCATTTGAGTTATCAAAATTTGTTCATTTGTAGGAATTTTGGTGTCACTGTATATTTTAGATTTCAGCATTAGGATAGTTGTTGCATCATCAACTTCATAGGCAAGCTTAGATAAAGTTGCCACAGAGAAAATATTCACTATTTTCTTTTCTAAAATCTTTTCAAGGACATCAAATATAACAATTTTACTGGCCTCCTCCTTCTGTTCACTGGGTATGTTAAATGTGACTCGAGAAGGAGTGTCTCTGCCTCTTAGTTTAGGGTCCCATTCTAGTGCAATTCTTAGCCATTGCTCTATTAAAGCCTTGAAGGGTTTGGAAATATAATTCTCTGGGAATACTTCATTTGAATATTCAATGTCCCCATGGAAAGTCTCATACACACACACATTTTCATGGGCCTTCTTCTTAACAAGGGGCATCCACTGCACAGGGGGCATGAAAGGCAGGAATGGCCGTTTACCACAGATTAGTTCAAAAACAACCAAACCAAATGACCAAAAATCAACAGAATTACTGTATGTCTTACTGTACATGATTTCTGGGGCTAGATACTGTAAAGTGCCCACAAGACTAGCACATACAGAGTTGGAATCTATTTCTTTAGCATAACCAAGGTCTATTAGTTTGTAAATTACCTTTCTTTGGCTTTGCACAGCTACATTGCTCTGTACTGAATCTAATATGTGCATCACAATGTTTTCAGGCTTGAGATCTCTGTGTGTAATCTTGTTCTGATGTAGGAAATGCATAGCACATCTGAGATCACTGAGTATTTGTCTGATTTGTTGTTCTTTGAGGCCTGCACATGATTCTGGTTTGTTGAGCACCTGTCGAAGGTCACCACCGCTGCAGTACTCCATACAAAGAATTGGTAGGCGCGATGGATTGGCGCGCTCGAGTCCTTTTACGAATTCGGGAGGCAAATCTTTTGTACCCACAATATTTGGATTGCGGCAGCCCTGTAACATTTCCACTTCCTTCGTCCATCGTGCTCTGTGTTTCTCAGAAAGCTCATTGCCCCACTGGCAAGTCTTTATTGCTAGTTTCTCATCAGTTTTTTTGTGTTTCCATAATACAACAGTACCAAAACTACCTTTTCCAAGTTCCCTTTCCTTTATCCAATCACCAATAAATACTATGTCGTCCATTTCTTACGTATCAAAAAAGCGTATTTAGAACACAACTTACAGCAATTACGATAGATATGATACCAAAAATAACTTTACGTTCTTGTTCATCTTACACAAAAGTATTGCAGGCAGTCACGCACGAAACTTTGTTTGATAACTAGTTTCTTTAAATAGTCCATTTCTTATTTCTTCCACACCTCTATGAATTTTATTTACTTATTGTTATTGACATCAGTTCATAGTTAAAACTGACTGGGTCAAAGAAATAATTATTTCAGCAGAGCGATGAAATAAAAGATAAAATAATGTACACGTTCTGCAATATTTTTTTATGAAAAAGGTACTATTTATATTTGAAAGCAAAGAAAATGGCACCTGTAAAAACTTATTCCTGGAAAATAAGGCTCGCTCCTTTTCATGCAACTTTTAACAAGCAACAATATACGACTAATTTGTAAAATTATATTTTATATTTCAACCAAAAATTCTACTCTTTAAAAACTCCACTGGGCTAAACCACTTCTAGTTTATTATTCTTCAATTTCTAATTTATAGGTCAAATGATTGTGTTGATATCTTTAATTCTATAAACGTTACTTTCTACGCTAACTAAGTCAAAGTCTAACTCTAACTGTCAGTGTCAACCAGCGTCAACCTGATAGTGTCAAGCAAGCTGTCAGCATCAGCAGAAAGCTGTCTGTTTATTGTTTTTTTTGTCAATTACTTAATTACTAACGTAGAATGTTATTGATAATTCGTAGTAATAATTAAATATAAGCTATAATGTTCGACATAACTGGTTTATGTCGCGGCTGTATGAAAGACAATGTAAGTTTAGTGAACTTATATGAAACCGTTCAAATTGAGGAGGACAGCCTCCAATTAGCTGAATTATTGGTGCAATGTACGCCAGCAGAGGTATGTAACTTTAAATTTAATATCATTGATTTAAATATCCATTAAATTAAAGTGTAACGATCATTATTTTGTTGGTAGGTAACCAAGGAGGATGGGTTACCACAAAACCTATGCGATGCATGTATCAAGGTGTTGCAAGTTGCATACACCTTCCGTATACAGGTAATAAAGTCACAGGAAGAGTTAAAAAAGATTCTACAAACAAATATAAAGAGTGAACCACTAGATGTCAATCTCAAGACAGAAGATAATGTACCGGACTATTTTGATACATTTGAAGATTTTAATTTTGATAATGATTTCCCCAAAACAGAACTTGAAAATGTGATATATACCTGTAATAAATGCAGTAAACAATTTACTAAACACAATAAATATTTAAGACATTTAGGAGCTCATGAGAATTTGTCCTTAGAATGTAGTATCTGTAAAAAGTTATTTGGAAGTCAGGAGCTATTAGATAAACACAAAGCAAAGCATGAGAAAACAACATGTTTGATTTGTAATAAACATTTTGAGAAGGAGACCGAGCTACTTGAACACATGGTGTTACATACAGAAGGCCTTAATATAAAGGTTGAGGATGAGGTGTCGGTGAACATGCTTCGTTGCATGGAATGTAATATAACATTTACGAAAGCGAGATCACTTGCAAGTCATATGAAAAAACATAAAAACAAGCAAGACCAGACAGAATTTGTATGTGATACTTGTGGAAAGAGGTTTTTAAAGAAGTGTATATTAAAAAGACATTTGTCTATGCATGAGAAAAAGCACAAATGTGATGAGTGTTCAAAATCATTTGCGAGACGAGATCAACTCGTGGCTCATGCATATAGTCATAAAGACAAAAAGCCCTATGTCTGTTCTTACTGCAAGAAAGGTGAGTTTATTTTATTTATCATAAATCTCATATTTATCCACGAAAATGTGAAAA